CAGGCGGCCTTCCCCCGCCCCGATTTCCTCGACGGCGCCGTTTACCTCGGAACGCGCGTCGTCGATGGCGGCTTCCTCTGCAACCTCTGGGAGAAAGAAGCCTTCATTTGGTACTACGAAGACGTCGTCACCAAAATCCCCGTTCGCTGGGATTTCTATGATGGTATATACAACATCTCCACTTATACTTTACTGGTTCCGAACGATGTGAGACTTTATGCTTGATATGAAATTTCAACATTTTGTAGGAATACGAACGCACGTGATGTCGTTTGAGGTTGGTGAGGTTTTGCCCGATTCCGTGACTCAGGCGCCTGCCTATTGTTTCACCGACGGCGAGTCTCTCGACAGAGAAAAATTCACGATGCTGGAGAACCCTCTCCCCCATAAAATGTTGCCAACTAAAGAAGCGTGGTGATGATGTTAATTGTGAGTGTAAACTATGATCCAACCGTAGTGCTATAGTGGGAATAAGGATGTTACTTGGCACAACATTAGCTGATAGTTGCTCTATTGTGCTTGGTATTAATTGGTTCTATACATTAGAGGAAACTCATCTTGCTATTTCAAACTTGAATTTCTGGAATTATTCCACTGCTACAAGTGTTGCCAATGGCATCAAAGATCCCAAATTAGCAAGAATAATCCTTTTCTGGCCCTTTGATGCGTTTCCCAGACATTGAGACAGTGTGAATTTGGAATCAAATAAAAGGGGATTTCCTACGGTGCAAGTTTGTTTTAGTGGTGTTCCCTTTGTCATCGGCAAATCATATATTAACACCTATCTTAAACAAGGTGAGAGTTATAGTCAGCTTTCACAAAAATGATCAAGTAACATTTCTAGAATTTCACTTCGGGGTAGTAACATTTTTTATTTGATTTAATTTAACAATGACAAGGAACATACATAACACAAAATGGCATGTTGTATGTAGTGTCGTGTTCCCAAAAATTCCCCATCTTGTAGTCTTGTACGACAGTTTGTTCTTTCATGTTCGACAAAGCACGTCGTTGATATCCAATGAGGCAATTGATGCAATTGGTTATCTGTGTGAAGCTTATTGTTTGTGAAACATGTAAGGATAGGAAAAACAACAACATAATAATCAAAAGTACCAAAGTAGATGATGAAAATAATTTCCCAACTTGTGAAAATTAATGAGGAGCAGCAAAACAAATAAATGACAGATATTTTTAACATGAAAAAACTCTTTCAACGTGAAAAGTAAAAATTCACGGGTATAAGTCAGTCAATCAAACTCCATTATGATCAAATAAGGGTACAAGAGAGTCAAATCAAATACAAAAACAAATGCTTACAACTCTTCAATATATCAAAGTAACAAGGACTTCCAACCAAAGAATAAAGAATAAATCTCAAACTAGAACAACCGTGAGAAATTGATTTCTCCAACGATAGATCTCCAATTCACAATCCTAACGGTCAAAACGAAGATCATCGTGTTAAGAACTTACTGTCAAATTTCTAACTCGATCCAATAGTAAACGAAGTAGAGATCACAATTTTATTAAAATTATTTGGTGTATGAGAACTAAATTTTCTACTCTTTTTCACTCCCTCTTATATCCGAGAAGAATCCTCTCCACTTGAGTTTTAAGTTAGACAAAATTCAAGTCATACAAAATTTGGGTCTTTTTAAGACACATATTTGGGAGCCCAACCCAATAAGTCTCACATTTCAGAAACCTTTTCCTCAGTAGTCTTCCGAAAAATAGAGTTTCGTATATGATTGGCTTTGTCTATTTTAAGAATAAAGAAATTATATTAAACATTTTAAATCAAAAGTACCAAAGTAAATAACAGAAATAATTTCCCAACTTGCAAAAATCAACAAGAAGTAACAAAACAAATAAATGACGGAGAATAATCATAAAGAGATTCCCCAACTTGCAAAAATCAATGAGGAGTAACAAAACAAATAAATGACGGAGAATAATCATAAAGAGATACAAATATTTTTAATGTGAAAAAAGTCTGTCGATGTGGTAAGTAAAAACTCACAAGTACAAGCCCAGTCAATCAAGCTCCATTATAATCAAATAAGGGTACAAGAGAGTCTAATCAAATGCATAAACAAATGCTTACAACCAGTCAATATATCAAAGCAATGAGGACTTCCAACTGAAAAATAAATAAGAAGAAACTTCAAATTAGAGCAACTGTGCGAAATTGATTTCTCCAATCATAGACCTCTAATTCACGATCCCAATGGTCAAAACAAAGATCACCATGTTAACAAAGATCACTATGTTAAGAATCTGCTTTCAAATTTTCAGTCCGATCTAATAATAAACGAAGTGAGGATTACAATTTTACTAAAATTGCTATGCGTATGCAAATCAAATTTTCTAGTCTCTTTCACTCTCCCTCTTATATCCTAGGAGAATCCTCTCCACTTGGTTTTCAAGTGAGACAAAATTTAGAACATACAAATTTTGAATCTTTTTTAAACACATATTTAGGAGCCCAACCCAACAAGTCTCACATTTCAGAAACCTTTCCCTGAGTAGTCTTCCAAAAAATAGAGTTTCATATGATTGGTTTTGTCTATTTTAAGAATAGAGAAATTAAATTGAATATTTTAAAAATTGTGAAACCAAATTGAATAAAAAAATTATCTAACATTTTTTGTCTAGATAAAATTAAATTTTCTTTTACTTAACGAGATCATGAATGATAATAAATTGAGTACTTGAAGTTAAAAAAAAATCACAAAATGAAGGATTAGAGGAGTTATTTAATAAAAGAAATTATTAAATATGTAAAAGAAAATTTAAATTTATTTATATAAAAAGGTGCTATATAATTTATTACTCAGTTCCTCTTTCATTAAAATGTTCACTATTATCATTCAATTCAATTTCATTAATTTTAATATATAAAAATATTCACTATTGTCATTCGATTCAATTTCATTAATTTTGTTAGTGTTAATTTAGATGAAAGACTGATATTAAATATTTAAAAAATTAGAAAATTAAATTGAAATATTTAAAAATAATAAAAATAAATTAAATTTTAAAAGTAAAAAAAAAACATAAAAATATAATTTAATCTTATTTAACTATAATAATAACAATAATGGAAAAAGAAATACCAATATATATGGAAGTTTCATAGCACAAGCACTATAAGTCAAGCACATGACCAAATACACCACATTAATATCTCTCAATGAGTAGAAAGATGGAATTTGTGCCGAAATCAGCGTGACGCATCCAAATATCACTACAAAGTCATAAAGCTTCATAGTCTCGTTTGGATTTGACAGCAAATAAATTGTCTGTAGTTGAGACAATTAGGAAAAGATATGAAGAATCTCTATATGGTCGATGTTTACATTCTCATGCATGCATTGAACATGATTTAAATAACTAAATAAAAAAATAAAATAAAAAACGAAGCAGAAGAAAAAAAAGGACAAAATTTTCATTTTTACAACCAATGAATAAAATGAGTTTTATACAAAATCAATCAATTCTAAAACTAACTATTACAAAAGATATTCACTTTTACCTCTAACTGTAGATCAATTGTCAAAATGATTCTATTTAATTTAAACAATCATTTTCTATAAAAGATAATTATGATTTATTAGTGAGTAAAAGATATTTCATATAATGAAGAAAGTGAATTGTTATTAAAAGACCCAAAGAATTAGCTAATATATCAAAAGATTTTTTAACCTTTTATTATTAAACAATTTTATAAAAAGTTAAAATTATCTAAAATAAAGTATACATAGAATAAGACATTGCCTTTGTATACATGTATAGATAATATATATAATAAAAAGTTCTATAATATAAATATATTTTGAATAAACTCAAATTTTTATGAGCTTTACATCATTAAAACAAGAAAAGTTTGAGTTAATAAGTAGGTGAATTTATTGATATAATATTTTTTAAATAATAACCAAAAATAAATTTATGAGAATTTAAACTTCAAATAAATAATATCAAATTAACGTAGAAATGTGGGTGAACTGCATGTATACAGTATACCACAACAATTGATATCAAATTCAAAAATCTTTTTGATAATGTGTTAGTTAGACAATTTATTCAATTAACGTGAACTAACAATAATGATAACTAAATTCTCATAAATTAATAGATAACTTCTTTGAAGAAAAAAAAGGTAAGTCATGATCCTTTATTTAAAAAAAAATTAAAGTATAAATAACGTCTCACGCCATTAAAAAATATAAAATAAATATAAATTTATAAAACATACATAATCTATTAATATAAGAATTTATGAGTGATGATAAATCAAATTATATGGACCAAATTTGACAATACAAGATAACTACATAATATTATTATTGTAATAATGATACTGTGTATCCGTAAGGTTGTGTGTATCTATCAAGAATTTTGTAGTTGTAAGAAAGTCATGAATGAAACCTCATACCTTTCTGTTTTTTCAAAGTTAATGACACGTATTGTAGAATATCGGTTCAATTTGAACTTTGACAATGACATTTCCTAAAACGCGCCACATTCAGCACGCAATATGATGCAACGACAAAGATTTCTTCATCAAGACTAAAATACACATTTAGTATAATTATAATATACTTATTCTTAATATTTTAAAATGATTAAAATTCATAAAAATTAAAGTTAATAAAATTTCAAAGAGCTATAAATGTGAAAAAGATATTTTTTTTTTACTCATAAATATATTCAAATTATTAATCAAATCTGTAACGTAGTAGGTTATTTCAGGAGGCCCAAAAGCCTAGTATGGGTGATTTAGTAGCCCAAAACAGGTCGTTCCCAAGCTGGAACGGGTCGTTTCAAATTACTGAATTGACCTATAAAACATAGTTGAGAACGGGCCGTTCAGGAGGGAGAATGGGCCATTCCAAACCACAAAACGGGCCGTTCCGGAGGGAGTACGGGCCGTTCTGGATGAGAACGGGCCGTTTTGGATGAATCCCAAAATGGGTCGTTCTGGTTTCAGAACGGGTCGTTCTGCATGTGATTTTTGTACGTGTTGAGGGGTGCAGAACGGGCCGTTCCGGATTCGGAACAGGCCGTTCTAGCCACTCCTGAACTTCTATAAATAGGGGTTGGGTGGTTGAGGAGAAAATAAGGTTTTTAGAGAGAAGTTTTAGAGAGAAGGACTCTGGGTCTGTGAGCTCCTTTCTCTCCCAAATTTCTCTATATGATTCCTTTTCTCCACTAGATCACTAATGCCTTCTGTCTTTTCTTGAAATTCAAATTAGGAGGCTTGCTTTGGAAGGATTGAAGTTCCGGGTTGAGCTTCGAAATGGAATTCTACTTCTTCTCAGTTATTGGCCATTTTGAGCCAATTTTCAGGTGAGGGAAGCTAGAATGTAGGTTGTTTAATTTCACGAGAGTTAGGGAAGCTTTATGCATGGTGTTCTTTTGTTGAAATAGTTGAGTTGTTGGGTGCTTAAGTTGATTTATGTTGTTTATGTGTAAGTTGACATGATAGATGAATTTTAAATATGTTGTTTATGTTGTTAATGATTATAGTTGTTTAATTAAGTTGTTTGCATGTTG